AGAACTGATCAGAAAAAGCCTGAAAATCATGCTAATGGATCAGAAGTGCCAGATTACTCACCCATACAATCGACTGTCTCGAAAACTAACCCTAGGATAGAGCAGGTTTTAAAGTGAAAACAATGGCCGCAATTAAAATCAATGGAAAGCGCGCACTTACCTTCCATTTCCATGCCGGAATAGAGCGAGTATTTCTTCGAATGTTTTGTTTTTGGTTTCCGGCACCTTCTTATACGTAAAAATCCAAAATAAGGCTAGGAACACGCTAAATGGCAGGAACGTATAGTTATCGAGGGCAGTCTGGAAAATGAACAAATTGCGCTTAGTCCAGCCGATTTTTCGGATTGGAAATATGGAATTTACCTTCATACTGGGAAACACGATTCCCACCAGGAAATTGGCCATCCAGTTGACCAGGACAGCGATCGACATGGCGGCAGGTCGGGGCCCTTGCGAGAAAAGTTCCGCGGTGATCATCCAGGGAATCGATCCAGGCCCCATCGCGAAGAACTTGACGAAACATAGAGTCGATACTACAGACAAGTAGGACATCCAGTCGATCATTTCCTGCACATAGCCAAAAAACTCCTATCAGGCGGTAGAAATGAGTCCTTTCTGAACAGGCGAGGAGTGACAAATTGATGATGATAATTATTATGCATGATTTGCCGGTGCAATGTTGTGTCCATGTGTGTATGTGTGTGGATAAACTCTTGCATCCAGGATGAGTTTTTGCATCCAAATCTCGCGCAACTCTCATCCTGCATACGCAACTAAATCAGGCAACAAAGTGGGAAGTTTTAATTTTTTTAAATCCTTTGGTGCCTGATGGTGATGAGAAACTTAATGCGTGCGTGTGATGTGCCTCAGCTCTGGATATGTACAGCGTCGCTCCTCCACCGTGTCAGAAAGTTGGACAGTTAGAGCAGGGTGAAGCTAAGAAGCCGAAATCAATATGTCAACGTGAGGAATTGGGCTCGAAATCGTTTAGGCTTTTTACAAGATGGAAGTAGGTGATTTTTTCATTAGAAAACGAAAATCTCGTAAGGGAAGTTGGACATGAAAAACCCAATTTAAAGCAATGTTCTTCACGATATTTGGGAATTAAAATCGCCCGGTTTAAAATAGAATTTTCCATGTCAAACTCTGTTTGGCCAAATGCCCTTTCCGTCAACAAAGCGTTGCGTTGTGTGAAATCTAAGAAGCAAACCAATAGTTGAGCAAACTAAGAAAACGTTCTAAAGCAACGAAACGTTAAAACTTATTACTAAAGTGGGTCAGTAAAAAAACGATTGTAACAGGTATTGTTGATCTAGTGCTGATCAAGTAACTGAACTGGTCAATTGTTTGTACCCAATGGTCTTATACAGGGTGCCCCAATAAAAATATCGAGAGGGTCGAATATTACGCGCTATTACCGTTATCGTCTAAAGTTACAGTTAATTCAGACAAAAATTGCCAAATTTCATCACAATATTTGGAGACGTTGTTGACGAATTTTGTTTGGTTGAGAAAATATGGGAAAAAAATATTACCGAAACGCTTTTTTGGCACATAAATCCAAAACTATAGATTGCGGGAAAAAATGGTGTCTACAACATTTTCATAGCTTTTTAAGCTCTACGCTTGGATACCAAATTTTACAAAAATATCACGCACACAACAATAGCATTAGAAAGTTGAAGTTTTTCGGGCACAACACTGTTTCGAACACAAAAACACTCTAACCCCGACTAGTGATTAGTTTTTGCAAAGAAATCAGTGTTGTGCCCGAAGGGCTCGGCACAACAATCGCATTAGAGAAAAAGTTTAATATCGTCTTGTTGTGCCGAGCCCTTCGAGCACGACAGTGTTTCATCAGCTTCAATATTTAAAAAAATATAAACCTGAATAAATTGCGCGAATAAATTTTCAAATCTCTAGCCCAGATATTTTCATAATAATGGTAAAATCATAGTTAGAGTTAGAGATAAACTTAATCGTCGTAATTTTAACTCGTTTTTTTTACCATTATTATATCGCTTCGATGTACAGGGTGATTGATTAGGAATGGGAAATTCGGAATCTCGAAGTTGATATTTTCTCGAAGTTCAGCATTTCTGAAAATATCAACTTCCAGATTCCAAATTTCCCATATCCAATGAATCACCCTTGTACGTCGAAGCGATACGCAATGGGACACCCTGTATGGCCAGTCAAACCAATTAGAATCCTCTATAAATACACCGGGTGTCCAAATAAGGCTAAGCCCACTTAGACACGCCGTATCGCGATATTTTGTGCATGGAGAGCTGTAGACGTTGAGACCAACCGACCTTGATCAAAAACGAGATTGTTATGAATATGGAGAAAATGAACATCCCGCCCAGGCCATAAAGCAGGAGCGTCCTGCGGCCCATGCGGTCCATCAGGGGGATGGAGATCAGCGTCATGATGACCATGATGCAGCCGATGCCGATGGTGGCGAATTTCGCACTTTCCGGCGTGAGTCCTGCCGTCTCGAAGAGATTTGTGGAGTAGTAAAATACCTGGAATTGATCGAGAATGGGAGCGGAGCGCTTGAGGTGATCAACCACCGGCGTCTTACAGCGTTGATGCCTGAAAGCTGCTGGGAGAGTTGCAGCACCACGCCAATGTAGAGCGGAGTGCGCAGAGTGGGTGAGCAAATGAGTTCGAACATCGTGGTGGAGGACTCGGCCTGCTGCGCCCGCTCTTCCGCTCGCATCTCTTCAATATCCTCCTCCACCTGGGGAATTGAGGGCGGTTGGGGAATACGGTACAGGAGTGAGGAGGTACCTGGTTGCTGGCTCGCAGCCTCCGTAACGCCCGCCTTGACTCCTCCTCCCACTGTTTGGTGAGGAGCAAGTAGCGGGGGCTTTCGGGACAAACGGGAAGCAGCACCAGTTGCAGCAGGGCGGGCAGCACGGCCAATCCAAGCAGGAGCGGCCATCCCTCATTGGTGCCCAAGATCTGCTCGATGCCCAGCACTTGCGATATGAGCAGGCCCACAGTCACAGCTAGCTGATTGACAGTCCCCAAACCTCCACGGAGGTTCAGCGGGGAGATTTCCGATACGTACATGGGCACCAGGGATGTGTTGAGGCCTGGATAGCGGTTTCCACTCATCAACTCACCTGGATTGAGGCGGAGCCTTTTTCTGATTACTTACCGCAGTTTATGCCAATGATAAATCGGCCGGCAATCAGCATTTCGTAGGAGTTGGCCACTTTGGCGCACCACATCAGAGACCCGCCGGTTATCCCCAATATGTTATTAAGGAGAAGTCCACCTTTCCTGCAAACGCCGAGAAGTCAAGGTTTCAGTTAAAAGGTGCAAGGTGTCGCTCCCCAAAATTTGCTCACCTGCCAAACCGATTGGCCACCATTCCTCCGCTGAAGCCGCCCACCATTCCACCAATGGCGAACACCGAGACCACCACCGAATAAAGAGTTTTCACGTTTTCGTCCAACATGTCAGCATTGTACCGGGACTTGTACACGTCCTTCATGAAGTACTCGATGTTGCTTTGGGGCGCGTTTATCACGCCCGTATTGTATCCGAACTGCAACATCCCCAGTACTGCTGCCAGGATCGAGTAGGACAGAAAGCCCGTCAGTCCCTGCGGACAATTCAAGGCTCAATTGAACGAAACAACAAACGAGGGGCGATTATTGGTTTTGATTAGTTCCTGACTGCGGCCACCACCGACCTGTTCCAGAAGCCTCAGTTTCCTGCGATACGTGTGCTCCTCTATCCGATCGACGTACCCCCTCAACTCCTCAATCTCCTCTTTGACCTGCTGCACCGTCTGCAGTTCGTGCTTGATCGCCACCATGTCCCGCTTCACTTCGGACACTTCCGACTGGCAGGATTCCACGGACTTGGTCAGCTCCTGCAGCTGGATGCGGATCTCGTTGAGGGCGAACGTCGTCTCGTACTGACGGTCGCCGCGTTGGAGCTCGTCCAGCTTCTTGCTCAAGTTCATGCTCATCACAGTTACCTGCTTCTGCAAACTGTCCGGAAAATCGGAAAGCAGGCATTAGCTGGGCAACTGGCCTGCTAGCCGGACAAGCAACATCTAGAATGTGCTTTTCACGCAATCACGCTAAGGTTACAATTAGAATCACTACACTTTTCACTTTCAAAATTGCAAGACAACTACAATAGACTCTTGTCTATTCATACTGGAAAATATAAATCGCTACCTGCCCTGGTCATGGGGAGATGATTTTTTAACTAAAATCTCCACTAAGTTTCTAGTGTGCACAAATTTCAAAAATCTCCCTAATTGACTAGAGAACTCGAATTCTGAAAAAGAGTAGAACAGAGTCGTACCTAATTTAGCTGAAAATTTCAAGTCCCTGCCTGCCCATTTGTTTGAGATATAATTTTTAAAAAGAAGCTCCGCGCGCAATTGAGATATGAATCAATCAGATTGTTTAATATCTGGAATTTTTCCAAAATATCCCTGTGAGTGCAGGGGGGGCTTGTCTATTTATTATCAGAAATTCAAGTCTTTACGGGCCCTTTTGCTCGAAGTATAATATGTTTTAATAAAAGCTGCAACTAATTGGCATATGGCTCAATCGCGCTGTTTAAGTTTGGTAAGTTTTTAAAAATCGAGTTATTTTGCTAGAAAATTAGTTTTCTCTATAAGTCGTCAAGTGCATATCTGCTGTTCTCGCCGAGCGACGATTTTTGTAGAGAAATAGTGCAAAGTGTTATATTAGTTAGTGGCTGCTGAGCTTGTGATTTGTTTGTAAATCATCCTCATTTTCTAGAAAAACCAGATTTACAGTGAGAGTAAACTAGAGTGTTATCTATACGAGCTCAAAAATGGTTGGTCTCTACGTGATTTTTTGTACGAAGTGTGATTTTTTAATTAAAATGTGCGCTCAAGTGGGATATGAACTATTTGCTGCCTGAGTTTCGCAATTTTTAAAAATTAACGGTTATTTCTTGAAAATTAAAATTTGGTGGAAGCGTGGAGCAGATATTTGCCTATTCGCAGTCAAAATTTCAAGTCTTTCCCTGCTTGTATGTCCGAACCACGATTTTTGTTTAGATATCTATTACATATTAGTTAATTGCTGATTTAGTTGCATTTTATTTTAAGTTTCCATAATTTTCCACTAAATCTAAATTTATAGCAAAAATTAACCAGATTTTTGTCTATCCGGAGTGCAAATCACAAATCTCTTCAAGCAGATTCGAACAAAATATGATTTTTTTTTAAATATGCGTGCATAAGTGTGATCTCAATTTTTTGTTGCCAAAGTTTGACATTTTTTTTAAATCGTTCGACTTGGCTAACTTTTAGTTACGTACAAAAGTTAGGCAGGGTTTTGTCTATTCGGTCTGAAAATTTCAAGTCTCTATCTGCTCTTGTCTCCCAGACACAATCTTTGTAAGCAAATGGGCACGTAGGTGTCATATTATAATAGTTACATGCTGCTAAATTTGCCATTTTTTTAAATCACTCTATTTTGCTAGAAAGTCAACATTAATACGAGACGTGAACTAGAAATTTATCTAATCGGACTGAAATTTGTAAATCTCTAAGTGCCTTTATGATCGAAATACGATTTTTTATAAATTATGCGCGTATATGCGATCTCAGTTACGAGCTCGAATATGCTGCCACAGTTTGGAATTTTTTTTAAATCGAGCGACTTGACTAGATAATTTTAATTTTCTACAGGAGTAAAGTAGCTTTTGCTCTATTCGGTCTGAAAATTTCAAGTTCCTATCTGCTCTTGTCTGCGAGATACGATTTTTTTTGGAAAAAAATGGGCACGTAGGTGTTATACTTTGTTACAATTTGTATAAACTCACTAGAACTTACTAGAAACTGTGAACTTATGAGGACAGTGAATTAGAGTTTTATGAATGTCTGCTGGAAATTGTAAGTCTCTAGCTGTACTTTTGTCTGAAATATGTTTTTTTTATAAAATCTGTGCGCATATAAAACATGAATTATTTGCTGCGGGAATTTGCAAACTTTTGAGCGAAGGAACAGACTAGGCAAAAAAATTGAAATTTGCTGAAAGAGTGGAGCAGTATTTGGCCTTTTTGACGACAAAATATCAAGTTTCTATCTGGTCCTGTCTTCAAATCACGATTTTTGGGAAGAAAATGCGGACGAAAGTGTCAAATTAGCTACTCGCTGGCAAATTTGCAATTTTGTTTAAATCACCTTAAGTTGCTATGAACTGGAAATGTATAGAAAACGTGAACTGGAGATTTACCTATTTGGACCGAAATTTGTAAATCTCTAGGTGAATTTTTGTGCGAAATATAATTTTTTATAAAGTAGGCGCGTAAATGATCTGCCAGTTATTTGCTGCACAAATTTAGTAATTTTTAAAAATTGAGCGAGTTTGCTAGAAAATTTCAAAGTTACTACGGGTAAAGTAGAGTTTCGTCTATTTGGAACGAAAAATTTTAGTCTCTATCTGCTCTTGTCTCCCAGGTACGGTAATTGATAACAAAATGTGCACGTAGGTGTCATATTAGTTACTTGCTGCCATGTTTGCTATTTTTTAATCACCGTAACTTCCTAGGAAATCCAAATTTATAGCAGGAGTGATCCAGAGTTTTAACTATGCGGACTGCAAATTGTAAGTCCCTCAGTGTATTTCTGTTCGAAATACGATTTTTTCAATAAAATGTGCACGTAAATTTTGCCTATTCTGGCTCAAAATGTCCACCCTCTTTCTATCTTTGAGAAACTATTCCTGTACACAGTGGCCCAAACAATAAAGTGTTCTCATTCATCCGGCGATTCGTATCCTTCCATGGCCAGTTCCACCTCGTTATCTCAACATCCAAAGCGATCGAGGGCCATTAAAATAGAAAACCACTACTAACATGCAAGTGCTCTCCTGCAGTCGATCCACATGGAAGTGATGCATGCACAACATAAAGCCAAAAGCTCTAATAGCATTAAGGGTGGGCAAACCAAGCACAGCCAGCTGCAGCCTGCATCCAGTTAGATCGGGGCCTGCATCCAGTTGACTGTGCATGGCGAAACCGGCCCTAAAGCTAGCCAGTACCTGGGAGGCGGTAAGGATACCATTGCTGTGTTCCTAAACTATCGTGGATCCTTAGCGAAATTCACAATTGAAGCTCCAAAATTTTTTAGTCGGCAGTTTGATCTTCGATCTGCTGGACCCTGACGACACTGTTTGCCTGTCTCCCACCTATAGTTTGGAAACACAGCCCGTTAGTTATCCAGTTTTTGGTGCCCACTTGCATATGTTCCGTTCGAAACAGTTCGGCTTTGGTTTGAAGTGGTTCCGTACCAAAACAAAAAAAAAAAGAAAACGGGTTGGGTTTGTTTTCAACTGGGTTTTTCAGTTGGAAAGGGAATTTGCATGCCGCCTGCTCCTGCAGATATAAACCAATGGATTCGTTGCATTGTGGTCGAAACAATACTCGTATCATCGATTTTAATTCGTTGTTTGGACGCTTCGTTTGTATGAAATTGCCTCAAAAGCTGCATTTGGAAGATCAGTGGGGAAGAGTTTTGTCTCTCCATTGCTGCAGAAGCTTTTTATTTGTTTTAAATTGTCTGGGAAAATGCAACGTTGCCCTACTGGAAGAGTTGAGTCTAATTTGCCTAATGTGAGCCAAAGTTTCACGACTCTAGGTGCTCTTGTATGATTTTTGAAAATTTTTATCGACTGCCAAAACTCTGAAATTTTTAAAAAATCGTTCTAGTTTGCTGGAAAACGCAAATCCATAGGACAATTAGATTAGAGTTTTGCCTATTTTGAGGCAAAATTCCAGGTTTTTTTTGCTCTAGTGTCCGCGATATGCTTTTTTGAATAAAATGCGCTCGCAAATTCGCTATTAGTTACTTGCATCGTAAGTGGCAATTTTTCAAAAATCCAGTTACTGTGCTACATTATTTAAATTTTGTCGGACCAGTGATCCGAGTTTGTTCTATACACACTCAAAATTCCAAGTGTCTACCTTTTATGGTGTCCGAGATATGATTTTTTAATTAAAATTTGCTCGAAATGGAAGTTAGGCCAGTTTTCGAAAATCAAGGTATTTGGCGGAATATTCAAATTGATAGCAAGAGCGAAGCAACGTTTTCCCTATTCAAAGACAAAGTTTAACATCTCTACATCGATACTTTACGACTTTACGATGTCAAAGATATTACGTTTTCATCAAAATATGCTGTAAATGAAAGTTTGACAATTTTTCAAAGATCGACTCATTTTTCTCTTCTTCTTCTCGAAAAACGGAATTCCCAAGAATAATTTCGTCTATTCGGATTCAAAAGTCTAAGCCTTGATCTAGTTTCTGTCTGAGATATAAGTTTTAAAACAAAATATATACCCAAAAAAAAACTGTCCACGGAAATGTGTTACTGGTTACTTCGGTCTAAGATTTATTTTTTTCTCTAAATTGCCCTATTCCGCTATGAAATTGAAATTTGCAGAAAAACTAGAATAGAAGTTCACCTATTCTAAGCCTAAATTTAAAGTTTCCTCCTGTGCTCGCTTTCGAGATATAATTTTCTTAATTAAAATATCCACATAAAGTCATATGCGTTTTGGCCCCGAACTTTGCATTTTCTTATGTCAGTCCGGTTGTCTAGAACATAAAAATCTGCAGGAAGAGTAGACTAGACCTTCCCCTGTTTTAAGTCAAAATTTCGAGTCTCTGGCTGTGCGTATCACTGCGGAAAACAGTTTTCTCACATTTTGCAGGCGATGACGAACGCCTCACCGTGCTGCTATTTTGCTTCTGTGGTCTCAAAAAAATTAATTCTCCTAATCAGCCGCTAATAGAAGAAGAGATTTATGGGGGGGCGTAACTTATGCAAGAGGGCCACGCCCATTGCCAATTCACTTTGGTTACACTTTGGTTTTTGTGTTGTTTCCTAATTTAAACAAATCAAGTGTGCAGAGACTTGAGACTAAAGATCGTAAATTTATGTACCTCCGTAAGAGTTTTTTTCTTGAATCTTTACTCAGCTTGAACCTGCAACTAACTCACAACATAAAATGTTCTCTGCAGGAATTCAGGATCATCCAAACCCAACGAATCGGTATCTTTAGTCAGTGGTAACGGAAAAAAATGGATGCTCTGGAGCAAGAGAAAAGTGAATAAACCGCCTGTCAGGAACGAGCTCTAATGCTCTTTGTGCTCTACCTACTACTGGCCACAAGCAAGCTCTTCTACCCGGTTGTTGTTCGAAACGAGAAACTCAAACTCGCGTTGTAGCCAGCAGTAGAAACAGTATTGTTTCGACCAACCACGTTATATAGGTGAGGGTCTCGAAACAAAATCAAAACAATAGCAATTTCAGAACTTGGGACTAGCAGAGGCAGTGGCATTTTCTACATGAAAACTCATACTTATGGTCTAAGGATCGTTCAAAATGTCGTTTAGAGAGAGGAGAAAGTTAGAGAGTTTTGGCTCTGAGAGCGTGCAGATCCATCTATTCAATTACCAGCGTTTGTTACTGAGACCTTCTGCACGCACTCAGCACTCATATGAGCGATTTTCGTACACGTTTGTAGCAATGTAATTGACTTTTCTACATTTACAAGCCTTGTGAGGGCGTTGTAAGTGAGTGAAGGTAACGATAGCTTTTTAACGGAAAAGTCGCAAAAAATCTGGCAGTACCAAATCGGTTGAACCAGCGGGTGAATCTCAAGATGATTTTGCAATTTTTGCGCACTTTTGCAGAAAAAAACAGTCGGCACTGGAGTCATAAGAGTACTTCCGTGTAGAAATCGGGAACGCAGTATTCACTTGGACTCTTATGGCTCCATATACAGTGTGGTGTAAAATAAGTCGCTGAATGGAATCAGCTAGAAGTAGGTACCTAATAAGCAGCTCGCGTAGAGTTGCCTCATCTTCTGGCTGTATTTCTTTCTTCGTCTCATCACGTGAGACGCGAACGACGCTAGACCTCCGGAGAGGCGGAGGCGTCGCGACGCCGTACCGCCGCCCGGTCACCTTAAATGCGCAAGACGAGCTGGGGCCGTGGCCGTGGGTCGTCCCCCCGCTGCTCGCCGCATGCTCCTCCACCTCGGCTAGTTTTCACCGCACAACTGCAATAAAGCAAAAAACTGCTGCTGCGTTCCCGATTTCCACGAAAAATCACCACCGACATCGACGGAAATGCATCCAAACGGTGCATTTCCATTGAAATGGCCTGCCGCGTACTGGATTTTTTTGAGGAACAAATAATAAACAAGTTTATCGAAAAAACTGTATAATTCACTTCACGTGCTAAACAATACACAAAATAAACTAAAAATAAAGCGCAAACTAAACAAAATACAGTTGAGTGAAGTGAAGTTTAACGCGCGCATTTGACAGGCAACGTCAACTGGTTTTCATGTTGACAACGGTTTGTGTACGTTGTTAATGACAACCGGCCAGATGCGCACTTTAAAGTTCCAGGGCCCGCTTAGAGAACTTATCAAATAAATAGCAAATAAACAGCTAAACAATTATACAGTGAAATAAGTAAATTTTTGAAGGAAAAAACAATTGAAGAAAAAATCTAATGACTTACTTCAATTTTCCAGAACAGTATGCCCATGTTTCTTGCGTTGATAACCTGAAACAAACGAAAACAGCCTTTAAAGCGCTCGATTCAAAGGCCAGTTTATTCTTTGGTATACACGGTGTCAAAATAATAACGGCTAGACAAGGAGAAACTGGGAAGTTTTCCGGGGTTTTAGGCCCTCGTCAAAAGAGCGCTAAGGGCGGTTCCAAAATCGGCGTTAATTTTCATTTTTTCCATTTTGCGCGAAAAATAGAAACAGTTCTAAATTGATGTTTTTTACAAAAATGCGTATTTTGATGCTCTATCAGACAATGACAACGAGCACTTGACAGCTCAACCGGTTTTCTAAATATTCACCAAATGCTAAGGGCGGTTTTCCAGATCCGGGTAATATTTAATTTTTCACATTGTTCCTCAAAACCAGAAAAATTTCTAAATTAATATTTTATATAAAAAAGCAGGTATTTTCATGCTCTATCCGGCCCTGCCAACGGGAATTTTAGAACTTAACGGGTTCTCTTCATATGAGGCAGAGGCTAAGGGCAGTTTCGGGATTCGCGTTAATTTTAAAATTTTCCATTTTGCGTAAAAACTTGAAACATTTTTAAATTGCCGCTTTATAGAACAATATGCGTCTTTTAATGCTCTATCCGAAAATGGCAACTGAAGCTTTGCAGCTCAACCTCTAAATATGCACCAAAGGCTAAGTGCGGGTTGCAAGATCCGCGACATATTACATTTTTCACATTTTGCCTCAAAACCAGACAAATTTTTAAATTGATATTTTATATAAAAAAGCAGGTATTTTCATGCTCTATCCGGCCCTGTCAACGGGAATTTTATAACTTAACCGGTTCTCTTCATATGAGGCAGAGGCTAAGGGCAGTTTCGGGAGGCGCGTTAATTTAAAAAATTTCCGTTGTGCGTAAAAACTTGAAGCATTTTTAAATTGATGTTTTATAGAAAAATATGCGTCTTTTAATGCTCTATCCGGAAATGGCAACTGAAGCTTTGCGGCTCAACCGGTTCTCTGAATATGCACCAAAAGCTAAGTGCGGGTTGCAAGATCCGCGTCATATTTAATTTTTCGCATTTTGCCTGACAACCAGAAAAAATTCTAAATTAATGTTTTATATAAAAAAGTGAGTTTTTAATGCTCTATCAGGCAATGAGCTAAGAAACCTTCGTTTTTTATTGGCCAATAAAGTGGGAAAAAGTGCGGAGCAACCGTCTCTGAAGATGCAGGCTTCGGGTGCTTGCAAAACTTTACAAAGAAATTATTTTCCCCCATGACCTAAAGACCCAAAAAACTGGCCAGTTTCACGAAGTAGCCACGAAACTCCTTTGATAAGCGGGAAACTGTCAAAAACTAACTTGAAAAATCCAATGCTGTAACCAGTCAGATTACCAGATTTACCACTTCTAGACGCAAATAAACTTTAACTTTCGTTGTGATATTTCAAGCAAATAAATCCCCGATTATCATCAAGTTTATTGTACATAATTAACATTTATTGGTCACACACACAGTAAAAGCACTATGCAAATCCTACATAATGCGGTTAATCCAATGCACTTAAATCGTAAACAAGCGCATATCTTCTGGTAAACTTGCACATATAAAGAAAAGTTTATTGCTTTGTTTACTAATTAGATGATCTTTTGAGTTCAGAAAAAGTCAAATAAGGCGTTATTTTTAAGTCTGACTAAAATTGAATCCTCCATCCGGTTCAGGCCCTTAATGTTCAATGAATAATTTAATTAGCGCTCACGGCAATTGCCGATGAAAACTGGTTTCGTCGGACTTTAATATTTCGGCCCGTCATATGTTGATGCGACTGCAATTTACCTTCAATTGGAGTTTTAAAAAACCCACTGCCAACTCAAACACTCTATAGAAACTTCACTTGTTTGTGCATGCCCACTTTTCAACTATTGTTTTTTGGTCACCAAACGCACCTAGAAGTATCGAAACGGTACTGATGCTTCATACCAGCAGATCAAGTGGTGTAGGCTTGTAAAACAGTAAAGACGAAGATAAGCACAATCACTTAATGGAGTTAATTGACAAAAAAAGGCGCCACTAAAACAACAGAAGTACGGAAATTATCGCGAACGCAGGTAGATAGAAATAATCGAAGACTGCCAGGTAAAAGCTGGCCGATTGCAGCAAACGCCAGCGGGAATGTTGTGGTAGTGGGAATTGAAGATTAAATAAAAGTGAATGTGGCAAAAGCAATTTATTCTTTAGATATCAACGGCATTTCTTCAGCGCTTCGAAAAATGGCGCAAAAATCCTCCGCATTCAAGCGTGCCTCCAACCAACTAGCACACTTCATTTGATTCATTTTGCAATTTTGGGCTTTGAATTGATCACACATATTAGTCGGCTGAAAATGTGTACCTACCACTTAACTAAAAACCTGCAGATTAAGCCCGATAAAACTGAGAAAAATAGGAAAATTAACAAGCCAACTTCGCCTCATCATCCTCATTCGATCATTCTCATAATTAAGCATTAAACACCATCATTATCCTTTCAGAACATTCCTGTTTAAGATAAAACAATTGAAAATCCCCATCACTTAGTCTGGCAGATTAAAATCCACGAGTTGTGTTAAGATTGTGGTTGCGAAAGATTTGAAATCAATATCCAAGGGATTAAAGATAACAGCACGACAAACGTGCCGGCATTAAGATAGAGGGTAATCTTAAATAATTAGACAGTACAGGAAATATCTACTTGCCTAAAAACGTAGCAAATCGAGTTGTAGATTCGTCAGACGTATGCCTGGCATCTTCTTCAGGAAAACCTCAGCAAGGTGGAACTTTCCAATTCCTAGCAGGAAACCTGCAAACAAAAAAAAATGTTTTTAATTTTTGCAAATAAAAAAATAGTGTTTTTAAATGCAACCAACCAAAGGGGGCACTTTACGTAAACTATTACGGGTGTTCAACATATTTTCAAGGGTCTTGAAAGAGCATAAACGTTTGGATCCCACCTCGTATTCAAGCAGGCGTAAACCAGCTTGGGGCAAGAGAGAGATGAACACAGCAGTTGCCGCGGAAACCAGTCGGTTCTTGTCGCACGCTCCCAATTTACCAGGTCCGATCCAAAGAAGCAAAGATTTATATTCGAGTTTTTCGGATCTAATGTGATTGCTGATTTAAACGGATCAAACGAGGTGGGCTGGGGATATTGATATTCTTCCAAGACACTTGGGAAGCTTTTCAGTATCTTTTTCTCCAGTTTCTTGAAATTTTCCGGATGTTAGACCGTCTAAAACTAATTTCCTCCTTGTTCAACAGATGTCACCGCTGAACCATTTGCATTCATAGCACCCTGATCTTAGACAAGGAAAGAGAGTCTCTCTTTCCTTGTCTAAGACCCTGATGCACAGCCCTAACCTCAACAGTCTGTTTATGTTGATTAGTTAGCCGGTGACAACAGAAATCGTAAATTTTCTTGTGTTTTACTTCAATGACGACCCCAGGATTGGTTAATTCGGACAATTAGCAAAAATGAAACGGAGCCACAGGCCGGAGGTTACTAGAAAAGAGCCGGGTAGTAAGGGGAGAACGCAAAAGCCTCCAACTCCCGACAGCAGCACACATAGATCAAGGGAGCGCTGCTGTGCAGAGCCCCAGCACTCCAACCAGCATGTTTTGAGGAACAGCAATGCCAAGAAGCCGCTAAATATCTCTCCAGGTATTCTTGCCATTGATTGAGTAATGAAGGCACATGATTTAAAATCCCCATTTCAGACATGGCTATATCAGCAAACGCCGCCAGGTATGAAGGACAGGTTAAGGCGAACGGGAGCCCTAAACAGCGCTCTAGATCAACAGTCAGTGACCGCCAGCCTTGGGGCCAATTGCTCAGCAAGCACACTGGCGAGGAAAACGAAACTGTTTTCGGTAAATTCGACCCGCTTCGCACCCTACATTTTCTAGCTGGCGAACTGCAGACCAAAGTGCCAGGTAATTAATTAATATTCCGATACCAAACGGCCGGATATTTGGTTTTATCAACCGGGTATTTGGTAGATGAAACCAACGTGCAGGAAATAATCAAAGCCATGCATGCGGCGCTGAAGCGAATCCCTCCTGAAGTGGCCTCAACCGTGCAACTCCAGCAGCAGTCGGTGGAGGTTTTATCAAAGGGCAGAAGCAGGGAGTGTGTAGATGCTTATTATCACGTGAGTAGCGCCTTTGGCGTTTATTGCTTGATAAGAACCGACGGTGTTTCAGAACCGGCAACCTCACAGACAGAACTATGAAGAATTTCAGAAACTAATCGAATGCAGCACTTTGAAGCTGGAAGCCAGCTGCCGGCACCTGGAGGACATGTGCGGTCAGCTGAAAGACGAAAAACTGTCATTGGAGACGCGGCTGCAAGGCGAAAAAGCCAACAGCAAAAGGCTGCAAAGCAAAATCGACGAAATGGAGGATTCGAATGTAAGAATCTGCAATATTATCTGGTTGGGACCGTTCTAGCGTAGCTATTTCCAGAGGAGATTGACACTCAACCTGCTGAAGCAAGACGAAGAAGTCGGGCAGCTGAGAGGTGCCATTGGGGTTCTGGAAGGGAAGCTGGAAGAAAAAGCGTCGGCAGGGCCGGACCTGCAGCAGCCGATGATGGACTTGAAAAAATCCAAGCTGAATCTTGAACGAGAGAACCAAAAACTCGAACATCAGCTACGGCTGCGCGACATTGAAAAAGAAAAACTGTTGGCAATTTTGGCAGTTCGCGATCGGCAAATCTACGAAATTCGCAATGAAATGACTCAGCTACAGCAATCCGTCAATGAACAACTGGTAGAGCTGCATAACTACGCCACTTCAGCTATACCGCATGACTTAGGCATGTGATTAGGCCCCACTCCGGTTTGCCTTCTAATTGGCGTTTTTACAGACCCAAACGACGTCCCCACTATATCGTCCATCTGGCCAACGGGCGGTCAATTTCAACTCCAACTAGCCAAGTCGGATAATTCCTTAAAAAACTCCGATTCTGAAGATGAAGCTGCTGCAACCGGCTAACTATACCCAGTCAAGGTAAAAGTGTAAAACGCGAAAATTTGTTGTTAATATGTATTAAAGAATAATTAATTATCAGCAGCTTAACCGCAAACAGCAGGGTTATTGGCGATAAACCGCCCCCTTCGGCGTATTTAAGTGCACAAAACATCTTGTTTGAAAAGCAATTAGGGCAGCAAGTAACATTATGACCTGATTAATGACCTATTATGCGTAAATGTAGGTGATTCAACATCAACGACCGCCAGCCAACAAAAGAGTTTATTATTATTAGGTCGGCGTAATATGGATTAATGGAAAGAAATTTCAGATTTATCTTCTCGCTGCCTCCAATTCGCTTTATTACCCCCGATACCCAGGATTAAGAGTGCAACGGTTGATTGAGCTGATGAACGGGCAGTAAAGGGTGAGCCAAGAAAAGCTCAAAGCTAACTTGGTCTATTGACCTAGGGCTTACCTACCTGGGCAGAACGCAGCAGGATAGTCAAGATAATTGCATGACACGGGACCTGAAATCTGAAGCACCAAATCACATTTCGTGCCGCGATCTCGTCGATATTCCACGCACTTTAGTCAGACATCGCGGGGTTTTTTCAGAGGGAATTGTCTACGCCCAAAATCCACCGAAAGTAAAATAGAGCTCCAGCAGCAAGACAGGCCGAGGAGTCGGGCTGTGGCTCTATGGAAGGCGTGCGCACAATCGATATATGCCCGCCCGGCCGGGACAGACTACCCGTGTCGCTTTAGAGGCCGAAGGCGCACCCTTCTAATAATGCGCCTTTGTCGGATTGCCCGGTTTTCCATTTGGGCGACGATTTTCCCCCAGAGAAAGAAAAACTGACATCGCGACTTTGCCAGAAAAGCACCAAATAAAAAAGAATTAAACAAAACGCATAGAATCTCTTGAAATGCGGGTCAACATTTATTGAACTTAGCATTAATCAGAAATGTCCCAATATAAGGAGAGATTTTCTTACAAAAATAACGCATTCACTCTCAGGATAACACTTGCACATAATTGTTTAAGTTTATGTTTTGTTAATTCACTAGCGATTCCGGATGACAATGTACCTGTGGGATTTTGGCCGTAGTGTGAAAGCTGCAGCAATTCAGTGCATGTTCCGAAAATGTTCTAGCGGGAGACTAGATAGAGGTTTACACAACATAGCAGTAAAACAGTTTGAGGAAGATAGGGAACATCTTATAACAAAAGGCGGTGGCTTCGGTAGGAAACCTTGGATATTAGTGAATTTTCTGACTAGATTTTTAAAGCTCACTTAGTGAAACTGCTTCAAGGGCCAAGCAGATAGTGATCATTGCAACCTTCCACTATCTCCATTCGAGCCATTCGCTCACAATTAACTTCAGACATTGCTGCACCCACTAGTCATCGGCGCCACCACACTGCCGATCCGGGTCCTATCTCATGATGAACGAATTGGAATTATTGTCTACGTCAAAGTCCAAAACCAGCAGCTTGGTCTCTTCGGTCCCGTTTCGGCTACCAACCGCGCAAACCAGTTTGGTTTCGTTCGCCCTAATTCGCCAAACGACGCCACCAGATCCGCCACTCTCCAAAGTCACCAAATTGCGGATGAATTCTCCCGTTCTCAGGTCCCAAAGCTTCACTGTTCCATCATCTGACGAAGTGATCACAAATCGGCTATTGAATTGCAAGCAGGTCACTGCTGACTGGTGTTTACTTGGGCCTGGAACAGACAAAAACATCGGACAATGGACAAGGCATAAATATCATTCTCTCCTCAGATTTATCAGCCAGTGTTTTTTGAGGGAGTCATTTCAAGAAAGGCTTATATGTAGATTTGGTGCAACAACTGCATCTCCCGGACTTTGCTTCGAAGCAGTTCTTTGAATGGATAATCCTTCGCCTGTGAATCCCATATCGGTTCTTAAATTTATCAAGCCACCCAGCACTCGCTTCAGAATTTCTGTTATCGTAGACGTGGTAGCTTCCGGACGTTCGGATTAAAAGGATTTTTAATCCGTGTGAAGTAGCACAAACCCGCCTCAACCATACAAATCGCATCAACGTAGTCGCGCTTACCCGATAATGTTTGCAAACATTGGCCAGTCAGAATGTCCCACACTTTGACAGTGGAATCGGCATTTCCCGAAACCAAGATGTTGTTCTGCAGTTCCATTCCGGAGGTAAGTGATTGATGGCCCATTAATGTATGCTTGCAGGTGCCAGTTTCCACATCCCAAACACGAATACTGGTGTCCAACGATCCACTCACTACGTGCACCCCATCGAACTAGCAGGAGAGAACGATTCATTGTGAGAGAAAAAATCAACAGTGGCTTTTTACCTGCAACGAATAGACCCGATTCGTGTGACCCTGCAGTGTGTGGAGGCACTCTTCAGTCTCAGGTTTCCACACTTTCACCATATAGTCGTAAGCACCGGACACCACCAGACGTCCATCGTATTGCACACATCGCACTGCAGCCAGATGACCGACCAGCACATGCAGGAATTCTCCCGTTTCAATGTTCCATACACGCAACGTCGCATCCCTCGATCCGCTAACCACTCTGAAAGCACGCATTTATTACAATCTGCTCTTGCATGCTGCTGTTGCCAAAACTTACTTATTTCCATGCAAATGCATACATCGAACAGTTGATGTGTGGCCGAATAAAGTGTGCTGACAAATGCCCGATTCAGCGTCCCAAACCTTCAAGGTTCTATCAGTGCTGCCGCTGATTACAATATTGCCGGACATTTGGGATGACCACACGCCCCCCGTATGGCCTGATAACGTCCGCATCAACTGCAATCAAAGCCCAGTTGGAATACGTTATTTGGCGTGATTCACACGGTTTGTGTTACCTTTCCACTAATCGCCGACCAAACTTTCAACGTATTGTCGTCAGATCCGCTGACGATTTTGTTGCCGGAAAATTGCAAACAGGTAATCACATGATCGTCATGACCTTTCAACATTTTGGGCGTTCTAATTGGGCTGTGTCGCCAATTCATCTCAATGTCGTGGAAGCGCATATACGCAGCCTGAAAACCCAAGAAGTCACAGTGGAGTCGGCCACGGCCCAAGAAGAAGAGTCGAAATCGTACCTTCCATGGCGACATTTTAATTTTAATAACCCTGGTGATAACGCGCCGTGCTGGGACATCTTCAACGCCCACTTCCCGGCATTTTTCCTTCCACAGCAGATTGTCGTCGGCCAACATCTTCCAGCTGTGGCAAGTTTGCGCCGCCTTCAATAAATCGGGCGGATCCAAGAACGACAGCACTTTTAAGGCTAACTCTTTTGGTAACAATGAAATAAAATCTCTTTGGAATTGAGGCTCAATCACTTGCATTATGTGTCGCACTTGAGTCGGCACACAACTGCAATCCAATAAAACGGTGGTGAGTGTCTTTTATTGGTTGTTAGTCGGGTCAAGGGCTTACCGATCAATCAGTTCGGTAAGGGCCATGATTCGTTCCGCATTAGACCAGCGCGTGAACTGACCCAACCAATTGGGCATCTCTGTTGGTGGATTGTCTTTCGTTGGAATGACCGGCCAGCGATTACTTGGAGTAAGCGTGCTTGCCCTTGGGATCATTTGAGTATTCGGTGATAAGCAGTTGTGTTCTTCTTCAGGTACCAGTGGTCTTTTGTTAGGACGGGCATCGTTCACGTCCAGTTTTCGTTTTTTCTATGGCCCATAATTCGTCCATAAACGAATTACTCTAATGGTCCACCACAACTTACCAAATCACATTCGATGTAATCAGACTTTTCTGCTGGGCTTCTTCTAACTAGTGAACTTTTTGGCGTTGAACAAAAACTGGCACAAATATTTACAGGTTGAGGCACATCATTTTCTTCAATAGAAGCTTCCTGATCAATGGTGTCACTGACGGAATTTTCATCTGTTAAAACTATGATTCCATTAACCAGTAAATCTTTAGGCACAGCTGCGTCTTGGTTTGACGGGCCTACAAAGGAAAAGTTGGAATTTCCCAATGAGAATCAGCCAAGTAACTTGCTCAAATTTCCACTACGTTTTTGAATGTTTACTGAGCCTTACCAGGTATAATTTCTGAACAGGAATCTATAATACATTCGGTTGGACTAGGACTAGCACAGTCTTGTTTGGAGATATCGGGGTGGTCTTTTGATCTGCAAATAATATCAAAAGAGTGGTCTGTCGGTTGCCATGCCTCTGCCATTCTAAACGTGTTTTCTTCGAGCCGCACTGATTATGGGAACTGGAAACGAAAATTGCCTTTATCCATCCATACAGCCCACACTTGAAAGAAAGAAAATCCATCCAAATAGCCAAGAATTGGGAACGATTTCGCGGAATACTCAAGTCATTTCTTGGCTCCTACACCTTTGTATGAAGTCTTTGTTCGTCAAAGTGCATGAATGTGGGCTGGATCAGCCCTGAAACTAAGACACGAGGACTGGAAAACACCAAACCTCAAAAACGTGTTTTCCGTGACAATTTTCGTACTTCAGCGTAGAGTTGGCAGCCAATGCCCACGTGGTTGCTTTAGGGCGTCCGCACAGGCACTTGCCAAGTGGGGCAGGGGGAGATTTGGGCAAACGGCCCCGGTAAAGGCCCCAAACACACACTTTTCCATGCACCACGAGTGAAACTTTACACCCATTACATGTACACCTTTGAGGCTAGGACGATTAATGAAAATTGCGCTTACCTTATCATGCTACAAATTGCACTACGTTTACAGTCGCTCGGTGAATAACGATGCTACTAAACTAATATAATTCACTTTTTACTAAACTGTTTTTTCATTGGAAAATTTTCATTCGGTACCTGACAGTGACCTGACATTCACAATACTTGTGACAGGACTGTCACATTGTCCTGTTTTCGACAATGACATTGTCGAATTCGAACAGTGATGTTTGCTTTGACATCAGCGTTGCCAATGTGGATATTAACTAGGAAATAACAAAACACACAAAGATAATTTATTAATAAAAATAAAAATATCAGCTATGAGCTGAGCACGTTATTAACAGCGCAGACCAAGGCCTCATGATTTTAGAAATTATCAGGAAATAAACTAATAATTGTTAAATAAAATGAAATGATCTGTATGAACAACTCGTAAGATTAAAAATAACAGAAAGCTTACACCTGCGATCATATGCTAGCACATGAACGTTAATGTGAAAGAGCGAGAAGTTACCAGGTCCCTTTGGACCACAGTTCACAAAATAACTTATGTGATCTGTGCTTCAGCCTACGTTCAAAGCTTCAAAACATTAAATTTTAATTTTGACCGTTGCTTTCATTGTTTGTGTCAGTTGTGTTTGTCTGAGGTAGTTTCTTAACCGAACTGTGTTTGATTTGAACAGATCAAAATGCGGAAGGCCGAGGAAATTGTGGAGAGGCATCTGAAAACCATCAAAATTCCTCAAGGCCTAGAAAAACAGACCAAGCAGTTGGTTACCAACATGGTTCAACATCCGGCTTTCAACAATACAGAGTGAGTCTAACTGTCTGCTCAACCAAACAGGTCTGAACTACCTTGTTAAACCAAACTCTGGGGTCCCTTTGTTAGGAAATGTTCTCGCAAGGGGAGCCAATCTAGCCTTTTAATGTACCGTCGATCGGGGTGAGGTCGGACGATTTTTTCGGTTTCTTAATAAAAAGTATAATTTGAAAATAAAATTTCCAATTAAATAATTGAGTCTTCCATGTCTCCTTTGTCGAAATCCATAATAAAACAAACCAACGCTCTAGCGACATTTTCTTGTATTGTAGTTCATTGTTGTTCTTAAAATTAATACCGATTTTCTTTTTATGCTGCCTAGCCATGGTGTCCACCTTTACCTCTATAAAATAAGTTTTTTTACTAAAACGCAATTATTTAACACGAAAACAATATTTCGACTTCACCAAGAATGACCGGTAATGGACCCTTAGATTTCCAGCTTAATGTATCACTTACATTAGTGACTCAGGCAAGTGGGGCTCTATTTAATCATTTAAAATCTGCAAAGGTTTTTCCGCAAACCAGCCAACAAGTGCCTGAATCCAAGCAGTTTTCCCAATTCGTTTCATCAGTTTCCAGTCGTAAACACAACTTTTTTTAGATACAAATGGACTCTAGACGACTTCGAGCTGGGCAACCGATTAGGCCGAGGCAAATTCGGTCGAGTGTATATGGCGAGGGAAAGATCCACCGGGTTTATTGTTGCCTTGAAAACCTTGATGAAAGTGGAAATCGCCAAGAACAGAGTGGAGAAACAAGTTATGAGGGAAATTGAGATCCAGAGCCACTTACGGTGAGTGGTTGCTTTCTCAATTCGCTGCCATAAAATGCACTGAGTGCTCTTCAGACACCCGAATATTCTTCAAATGTTGGCCTGGTTCCACGACTCCCATCGCATCTACTTTGTTCTTGAATTTGCCGGCAAAGGGGAGCTGTACGGACACCTGAGGAGTGGCCATCACGAAAGATTCAACGAACACCTGTAAGGAAGTCTTGCACAGAACGAATGGTTGAGATGGTTTATACGGTGGTTGTTTTCCAGAGCTGCAAAGTACCTCTATCAAGTGACAGACGCGGTGAATTATTGCCATAACAATCATGTGATCCATCGGGATATTAAGCCGGAAAATCTGTTGCTGACCATCACTGGCGATATAAAGCTGGCGGATTTCGGATGGTCTGTGCATTCTCCTTCTTTGAAACGCACCACCATGTGTGGCACGTTGGATTATCTGCCTCCTGAAATGGTCCGGGGCCAAAATTATAAACAATATGTGGACCATTGGTGTCTCGGTAAGCTCTCAACGAGTCATAAAATGATCAATTCTCCAAATTGCCGTTTTAGGCGTTTTGCTGTACGAGTTTCTGCATGGCAGTCCCCCGTTCGAGAGCAAGAAACAGGAGGAAACGTATGAACGCATAACAAAGCTCGATATGAAGTTCGGCAGCCATATTTCTCCCGGGGCCGCGGATTTAATATCAAAGGTACTCCCAACTCCCAAGGCTTGATTGGTTCCACTGTTTTACATTCAAATGTTTTCAGCTGGTTGTCATCAAGAGCGATCGTCGGATGAATTTAACCGACGTTATGAATCACCCTTGGGTGGTGGAGAATAAGGTGAAGGGGGACTAATTAATTTGATTTTTATACCACCGTTGTTTCATCATGCTTAGGATGTGATTGATTTTATGTTTTTTTTTATATAGTAAAAGATATGAACCAAATTAAAGCGTTTTAATTAAATTAAATGATAGTAGGTACCAGGTGGATTCACACAAGCGTCTAGGTATACGGCACTTCTTGTCAATTCTATCGATTGCGGCGATTCGAACCTAGCGGTTTGTTATGATTTAAGACGATTTAAGGTTAGGCGATTTTTTCCCAGTATTTTGTTGTAACCGTAAACTCTTTGGATTTTATTAATATAGTGTTGGACTTTGACTGTGTTAACTTAATTAATATTGATAAAATTATTGAACTTATAAAGTTTGATTTAGAAGAACTTAACGATGTGTTTTTTAACGTTACTCATTATATTATGTACACCAAATGGGGCGTTTTAATAATAAAAATGTATTATTGAGCAAATAGATAGTTGGCTTAAATTATTTTCCTATGTGCAATGTGCAAATTTAATTAAAACAAATTATCAACGATTTTTTAATTTTGAAGTAACAGAAAAAATAAAATTACTATTGTAAGAGTCAAGAAATATTAAGCAAAATAATTGCTGGTATCTTCTGTTTCCATTTACTTCTTGTTTAACATGTCACACTAAGCAACACATGAAAATAATTGCCTTTTTACACTATTCCAACAAAAGTGGAATGCCAACAACGTAGTTCGACTTTTTAGTATGTTTTTATGTACTATGTGAATTAATTTCATTATATCAGGCGTATAAAATACTAAGATTTGTAATCAGAAATTTTAAATATTTTAACAATAATACAACTTTTTTTATTACATTTTTAGTATTTAATGTCATAAACACTCTTACTTGTTATTGCCACTTGGGTGATGTTTATTATAAGTTTTACCGATAAATAAATCTATGGAATGTATTTACTAATTTGAAAACTATCCATAGAAATGTATCGATGTATGTAAGGATATTCAATAACTGTCAAATATACAATAAACCGAACTTTTTAGGAGATTTATTTAATGGTTTAAGTTGCTTATACTACGAACACAAAATCTAATACCTATTTAAGTTCATCAGAATATATCAATTGTAAATTGTTATAAATTAAGAAATACTCATAATTATCAATGTCTTTCTTTGCGCTAATATAAAGGCAATGCTATTATTTTTGTTCCAACAAATTCAAACAATCCCTCCTAAAAAATTAAAAATTACTAGCCAAGAGCGTATACAATTTACGTATGAATTTCTGTACGATACTATTCGTTTGTCATTTTTATCTAGAGCTTATATAACGTTCGAAATGCACGCGAGAATGAAAAAAAATGATTGGCGGACTCGCGGTTGTTTACAAACAATAAACAATACCACCTAACCTTAAATCGTCTTAACTCATTTGTAGAACTTGTCAACGATACGTTCGATAACAACAAACCGGTAGGCTTACTTGATTGGTTCGAATCGCCGCAATCGATAGAAGTGACAGGACGTGCCGTATACCTCACAGTCAAAGTCCAACACTATATTAATAAAATCCAAAGAGTTTACGGTTACAACAAAATACCGGGAAAAAATCACCTAACCTTAAATGGTCTTAAATCATAACAAACCGCTAGGTTCGAATCGCCGCAATCGATAGAATTGACAAGAAGTGCCGTACCAGCCGTACACCGTTCAGAGGTGTTCTGTGCATAGAGAAAGTAAAATAAGTTTTACTTTCTCTATGGTTCTGTGCGTATACCTAGACGCTTCCCTGGAAAATTGTACATATAATTTTACAAAACATTGGCAACGCCGAGGAAGTTTTTAGTGTTGACGACTGACGTTGCGGGTCACTATCAGAAAAAACAGTCTAACGTCTAACCATTGGAACCTCACCAAGTCCATTCGAGACTATTTTTAAGTTCATTAGTCATCTTTCAAGTACACGTATCTTTTACGCTATAAAGCGGAGCGAGCTCTACTTGACTTTAAAATTGTGTTATTGTCTGAATCCTCACGATGAGCATCCAGTGGACGCTGATTGCCGGTTTTCTCTACGCAGAAATCGCTGTAGTTCTACTTTTGGTTCTTCCTGTCGCCAGCCCAAGAAGATGGAATGCTATATTTAAATCCAGGTAATGTAATAATTCTGCGGCCTGACTAGAAATCCACAATTTTGAGCCTCTCTTGGCCCCCATAACATCTGCCTGATGCTTGCCATGAACACCTGTCCAAAGTCCAAACACAAAAGCCATTTGTGCAAACATTGACCTATTTTTTTAGATTTCTTCAAGCCCTACAACGGCAGGCCGGAGTATACTTCGTGATCCTTTTCGGCATTTTAGTTCTGTTCCTTCTGGACGCCATTAGAGAGATGCGAAAATATTCCAATCTAGGTAACATTTGACTATCGGCCCCCATTTTTGCTCTAACTGGCGAACTTTTTTAGAGACTGAAGAGCATGGTCATGCTCACCTGGACAGGGAAATGCAAGGAAGCATGCGACTGTTCCGAGCGCAGCGCAACTTCTACATATCCGGATTTGCCCTATTTCTAGCTTTGGTATGGATGGGTAGTTAGTTTCTTCTGCAGTCAATGGCCAATGGAGTTTTTCTGTAGGTTATCAGGCGTTTGGTGATTCTCATCTCTTCGCAAGCAGCTCTATTGGCTCAATCTGCGGCCTCCATGGCTCAGGCTCAAAGCGCCACAAATGCCGCCCGAAGTCTGTTGGCGAAAAGTGGCGAAGCGAAGGACAACGAAACCAATGAAGCAAATGATGTAGAGGTTTGTTATCGGCTATGATCGCAACCCACTGGGCATATGAAAATTATCTAATTGTTTCAGATGAAGGAGCTGAAGCAAAATGTTACGGATCTGGCAAACAGACTGGCGAAGGAGAGGAACGACAAGATTGACGTGGAAACCAAACTAGCTAATCTGGCCAAAGATTACGACCAGCTCTCCGAGGAAAATTTAACGTTGAAGAATAAACTGAAAATCTCCGGCGCCGGGGACAAGAAAAATGAGTAATTTTCTCATTAAAGTTCATAATTTAATTTTATATAAACCTAGTCTGTAGGAAGTTACTGAAGTCTGATTGTAGAGCACTTGGAATGGTAAGGGATTGTGATTGTATTTATATGATGTTATTCGAAAGAGATTTTAACTACCGTTGCTTTTACAGGCCCTCTTGAGCTTAACACCATTTAACAGTATCTGTAGCTAATAATTTGATATTTTCTGAATAAACTGTTTTATTATTGCCACCAAAAACTAACAGAAAAACTCTTCTCCAAGGCAGTAACATGGTGCCACCATTTGAGCGGAATAAACAACATTTCTCCAGGCTCCAGGAGGCATTTGTACATGGTGGCCCTCTTGAAGTCTGGAAATTTGTTGGGGTCTGGATTGAGTGGGTCGATTTGAGCAGTATTCGAAAGCATCGCTTCACTGTGAGGGTAGAGATTGCTGGAGTCTTTGGTAGAAAACAGCAACAGTCGTTTAGTGCCGTAAACCTGTCGACGTGGTTTCAGTGATTTGGAGGATTTTCTTGTTTTAGCTCCCTTACCTGGGCCAGAATGTTGTTTTTTGGGTCCTGGTGCAAAGGGGAGACAGTGCCTTTAGGCCCAAGCCAGGCGTTTATGTCTGGATCAGTGGATTCTTCATAATTCAAGCTGCAACAGCAATATTCCGGGATTCGGATGTCCTCTTTCAGTTCCCCAATCTATGCAAAAATCACTCGCTTAGTCTGCTTAATGAGCGATTTATCCTTTTAGTACTTGGTCAAAGAGATTGTGCTGCGCTAGATATCCAGTGTGGTCAGTTTCACACAAATAATGGGTAGTGATGAACTCGCGGACTGTCATCAGCTTTTGCGACCAGTTTTCGTCAGTATAGTGCGAGCCGATTTCAACGGGAACCGTGCGATTTCCTGCGACTTTTAGCAAGTAGTTCACGTCCATCCACTTGCTGGTTGCTGGCCAGTGGCTCATACAGCCTAAAATAAAATCCTCATTCTCATCGGCCACTTGAAACTCTTCTAGTACTGCCTTTGATCTTTACTGGCCGTTGTGGAACAAAGAAGTTGCGATTAAACGTTTCTACTGAAGGCACTTCCAGCTCCTCAACTTTTATGGCGTTTAGCTTTGCAAAATGCTCCACCAGTTTATCACAGTCGCTGCCTCTTTTCGCCGGTTTGCCAATCAGCTCGGCAGAATCCCCTGAAACACTCACTTTAGTGAGGTTATTTAATAAAACTTACTAGAACTGGTTTACCTTCATGTTCGGCTTCAAGCTGGTTGAGTTGAACGCGCAGACATTTCGCAGCTTCCATCAGCAGCTCTGGGGTTTCTTCCAGCGGCGCCCCTAAAAGCAGGCCCATATCCACTGACTTCAGGCATTTCTTCAGCAAATCGCTTCTATTCTCATTGGTTGGGAGCTGTAGAAGCAGCAGCGCCTTCAGGAAGGTTCCTATGGTGAAGTTTTGCCGAATTTCTATTGGGATAGTGCTCCAATGGCCTAAAATTGTTTGGAGGTAACCCCTGGCTGGTTCGCTCGTTAATGTTGCTTACCAGTATTTAGCTCTTCGTGTAAATAATCCAAGATACTGTCGATTTCAAAGAGCCAGTCTCCGGACTGGAGGTTATCCAGGTTTTTATTCCAATTAAAGCATTTTTGATGGAGACTTTCAAAAGTGTGCAGTACGTGTCCATTTAAATGCTCCCGGCGTATTTTCAGTGGAGCACTGGCAAGCTTCAGCAACTTTTCAGTCGTGTCCATTGCGAATTTATGAACATAGCAACGATGAATGATCGATCTATGGGAATAAAAGTAATTTTGTCTGGCTTTGCTAGCACATTAACCAATACCTAGAGTCTGTTGAAATTGGAGTGGAGTGATGAGATGAGGCCTCAATTAAAATCCTTAGACCCAACTGGGGAAAGTTGGGAACGCAGCACCTCACGCTTAAATTTACAATTTCCAACACGTTTGTTTACATCAGCTGATGGCCAGAAGAGTGGTACATAGATAAAGACGAGTAGTGGTATGTAAGCCATGTTGCCACTAATCCCTTCAATTCAAATAGGTATGATAATAGTGGAGGAGGAGGAGAGTTTTACCTTTGGAGGGAGGCTCCATATTCTATTCTATGATCATGTGAACTTGTCTTTATCTATGCTGCATACACTCTATGTAAGCGTCAGAGACAAGATATTGTATCTGGTAAGCGTAGGTTTCTTAGGCGTTTTCTATTCTTTTAACATATAACAAACAATTGCTAGCAAAAAGCCATGGAAACCATGGAGATTTCGAAGCAAACAAAATGACCAGCAGATAATCATTCCATAGATGACTGGGCAGAGAATGGGTTGAATGGGAATAGTAAAAGTTCCTCCACTATAAAGCTGCAGCTGAGTGGTAAGCAAACTGAGTAACCTTTGGACTGATCTGCTGATACCAGGTGGGGGTAGATTGGTAAGCAAAACGAGTTGATCATCCGATTCAAAGGTATGCGGCCACATTGCCAGTTTAACCACTTCGGTAATTATCGCGTCAGTTAACAAGTATTTAAAATTGATACCGCCGATGCAACTTGTTGCCCAGTTCTGTCTTTTTAGTGTAAGCTAGGGCTCGACTTAGACGGCCTGTGCCGTTTTACGGCCCCTAAAAGTGTAAAAAGGCTGGAATTAGAAGCCAGGAATTTGGTAAGTTTGACGACTAGCGGCAACAGCGGTTACCTTGTATATAAATAACAGCAAAGCGAAAAATCAGACCTCAATTTTACTGATTTTCTTTAATCCCGTAATCCCCCTTCGGTTATAATGATGCCAGTTTACAGTGTTAGTCTAGTGAGGTGAATGCTGCTGCTTGCCAAGCCCCAGTTCGGCTGTTACTCACATCTGTTCCCTCCCTGCCTTTGTTGAGTATCAGCAGCCAATTGCAACTATTTCCTCAATAGAAACCCCTTGAAAATGGGTAAGTGATTGTAACTGTTAACCAATTGATTAGGTATATATTAATCATCAGCCCTCAAGTTCAAATCTTGCCACGAATTGTTGGCTAATTGTACAGGATTTGAACAGGCGGAATTTCTGAAGCCTCAATTATTTTCTCAGAAACAATCATTTATCCACCCTCATGTGGTAATAGATAAGACTATCTATCATGTTGTTGATATTTCAGGATTGACGAAATCAGAACCGGATATCAATTGGCGATAAGTTCGGTTGTATTGATAAGCTGGGATATTCATGTTAACACAACGCGATTTGTCACGCTACAGGGTGATTAGACCATGTACAAGCCTCGTTTTTCCTGTTTGTTTTAGACACACTCAACAGCTGCCCATTACTGATGGAAGGCGGAGAAATAAACGCACGATACTGAAGCTTCAATAATCCAACGACTCTTGCCCTTAATGGCTCATCAGCGGCAGAAAGTTCCTAACTAGTTATACTGTAGATAATGGTTGGACCGTCTTCTCAAATCAGCAAGCTCCTGGTCGGGCTGCTGTTCACCACGCTGATTTACTACGTTTACATGGACTACAATCTCTATGTGCGTATTAGAGACTTTCCAATCAATGGCAACAACGACAACTCCAGTCTTGTGCAGTACCAAGCAGTAACTTGGGTGCAATGCGAAATCAACCCCTTGTGCGAGGTGACTGTTAAGGCTGTTTTACTAGACCACACCAACTACTACCTCTTGGCGCCTTCAGTGACTATCATAGATGATTTGGTGCGAATTTCCGATGCGCGCCTAATAACTCCCAATGCCATCAGCTTTTTTCATGTTTTCGTAGCAGTTTTAAGCGCGAAATGCGTGTCCAGTGATAGTTTGGCCTATCGGCGCATTGGAGTGGTGCTGTTTGAGTTCAGGACTTGGCTGGATGACTTGGATGGGCATGTGGCTCGAGTGCGAAAGCACATCAAAGGCGAACACTCGGAAATTGGGACGTCAGGCTACTATATCGATGGGATATGCGACGCATTGGGCTGTACTGCTCTGATCATCGGGATTTTAGCCTTCTTCAGAAACAATCCCCCGCGTAGAGGATACGTGCAACTTCCCACCACCAACACTGAAACCAAAGATGGCCTGTATACAAGCAAAGTGGCCATAAAGAAGATTGTTAAACGACTGGGGTTCTTCGTTATCCAACTGATCATCAGCTCGGCTGCATGGAACCGATACATAGCTTTGTATCAGGACTTGTTGGAGAATGACTGGGTTTCCTCCGCTGAATCTTTGAATCAGAACGCTATTTTGACCAGTTCCTTCTTCTATGGCATCTGTTGGGTGTGGCGAGTGGTCAACATCCACAACATGCTCCACTGTTTGCTGTTGGCGATTTTCTGCGATAAAACCTGGGAATTTTTGTGCTACATGCAATACATGGGATTCGGCGTCTTGTTCGCCGTCATCTGCGCCACTGAGTTACATTTCATTGAGGCGAAAAACTTCGTTTTTAATAGGATAACTAATGCGAATGATAGTTGATAAGGCGTGTGCTCTCTATTTTGAACGGTTTTCACTACTCGACCTGACAACTTCCTGATTTACGCACATTCTATGGGTGCTTCCGTCCGGAATTTCGGTTCTTTTAGTGGTTAGCGACCGTAAGTGATACGAGATTGGGAAAATTGAAAAGTCCCAAATAAGTCAGAAACAAAAAATTTACGAATTTCGTAGACACATTGTTTAAATTACGTTCGACAAGTAGCAAATATTGACCATTTTACCAGTTTTTTAACAACTAATTGACTGTTTCTCTTTCCACCTCTCTGTAAATTTATATGCATTTCCAAAGTAATTTTAAAAAATGCATTTGTATTTTTTAAGTTACCATAAGTATTAGAACTTCACTCACGTGACAACGAAATAACTATAAGAAGGGTAGATATTTTTACACGAATTAGGCTTGTGGGACGTTGAGGATGGTGCTATATTCTTAATTGTTATAGTTTTTAGTTTACTCAGCTGCACTGAAATCAGTGCTTTGAATGGTTTGCTTATACTTTAACAAGGCCTAACCGAGATTAAATTCTGTGTGAACAAAGTGTTCTGTGAGCTGCACGCGATGCAGATACCGGGCCTTAAGCAAAAAGCTAATCACGCACTAATAATCGTTGTTATGGTGTGTTTGTTTCATAGGAAGTAAAAAAGTATATTTTAATTGTCTCATGATTTGCACCCAATACTCCTTCCAATCGACCAGGTACATGACGATAAAATTAGATTTAATCAAACACTTTATTAAATACTGCCTAAAAAATTAACAGCATAAATATGCTCACCTGATACATTCTCATACTTTGGCAAATATTGATCAAAAGCCGTATTTCGCACGGCTCATCATCCTGTTATTCTTGCTGGTAGCCCAAGTGGCCTTCAATTCCTGCTCATTCGCCTTGGCTTGTTGAGCCAGATAAGTGATGTGATGCCGCTTCTTTTTGGCCGGATCCATGTCCTCGTCTGTAGGTGCTGGTTTCGGAGCCAATTCGGGGTCTGAAAATCAATATCTCGATTAGATTGGCTCGTGACTTGAAGCGTCAGCCAACTACCAGTCAGGGATTTCGTCAGCCATAGATCTCTATCCGGCAGTATTTCGTCTTCGTTGATATCTATCAGCTTGATGTTGCCGATAGGTCTTTTCGTTTTGCCCACCAGCTCCTTGAACGCCACATTATCCAGGCCGTCGTAGGGCTTTTCTGGTACTGGCGCAATTGAGAATGCCTCTAAAAAATCAACAGCTTGAAGAACAATGAGGGAGTTGTTTAGGCATGCAAACCTGCTTCAGCTGTAGCTCGTTCATCCACTTCAACTACGGCCGGTTTAGGCGGTTGCTTCGGCCTGCCGCACACTTTCTCCCACATCTGGTCATCAAACGTGTCGGGAATTGGAATTTCTTCGGTATCCGTGTCACTATCGCTATCAACTGCGCCTTTCACTTTCACAGTCTTGGGCTGAACTGGAGCTGTCTTCACAGATCGTGGTATTAAGGCTGTAACAAGTACTTGCTATTTTGCCCTGACTGTCACTAGTCCCCCACTGACCTTTGGAGCTGGTAGGTGTTACGGTGTTCTTCTTCACTGTATTGGGGACAAACATGGTGCTCGATTTGGACACACCTTGTACTGGAGGCAACAGACCTAAAATGCTCATGGTTAGCAGGAAGTAGACAACATCTAACTTTAATCCTCACTCAATAAACCGCTGCCCTTCTCAGAGGGTTTCGGCCGTTTTATCATAGGTTCTTCAAAGTTGAGATCGTCAAACTCCGACAAGGAGGGAATAGTGATTTGTACTTTTTTCTTTTCTTTGATCGTCTTCACTGTGGGGATGAAATCCTCCAAATGGTCGCTTTCTTCAGAAACAGTAACCTCATTTGCCTTGACTTGGGGCAGCTGGGCAAAGAGACTCGGTGCTACAGGGATTTCAGCATCAGATTGAGTGGGACTCTGCAAAAGACTCTGAGTTAAGGCCAGCTAAGACTAAAGGCAACAACAGCTTTACTGGGTCTTCGTCTGATTTTGAAAGGACCACTTTAGAGCCACTGGACTCAACTTCCTCGTCAGTGATGGCTTCATCGCCGCTACTGTATTCATAAGCAACCAATGCCATTGTGAGAGTCTGCAAAGGTAATGTAATGGTTAACTGGTCAGTGAAATTTAGAGATCTTTGAACTGTTCATGCTGTAAATGTTCTAATTTTAGGGCCCCATTCCAGAAGTGCCGTTGATTTTAGCTCCTTACCGAAAAATTAAACAACCAATCACAAAGTGATACTAGGCAGGAATAACTAAACAATTTCGTTTCCAATTTTTTGTTTACATGACACAAAAACATCTATGACAAAAACTAACCCTTCAACGTGCCTGTCCTGTCTTTATCTATGTTTCAGCCACAGAACATACCTCCTAGGGGTGATATTTTGTGGTTTCAACTGTATCATAATCTGTGGTTTCAACTTCCCACAGACTACTCTCATAGTACCAGGGCAGGGTGGCCAACTTTGCAAACGCGAAATAGGGTGTTTGAAGCTCTATTACCGTAAAAACAGTCTTCGCACTGATAAAAAAACAAGATCTCATGATATCCACCGTAGAATACCCTACAAAAATACCAAAATACGTTTAAGGGACCTACACCGTACAAATTCCCAAATTACAGTACATGTATGGTAATTACCGTACAAATGGCCACCCTGTCTATGGCTCTCGTTATCGGCTGTTATCGGCTGTTTTTATTTATCTTTGCCTTATAATATACAGAATGATTCAACTGATTTCGCTTTTTATTGCATTTATTTAGCTATTATCTCTTATATTATTGTTGTTGAGCGAAAGAATTGGGCTGTACGAAGATTACATGCGAGAAAGTTTGGTTAATTTTGCAAAATGCTCAAGGTATGATTGTTGGGTTATAATCAAACAAACGGAGCTTTGTTGCAAATGTACGGTTTTTCATTTAATAGGGCATTGAAATTTTAGGGTGCAGTCGGTTTGGTAACTGGAGGGGCGTCTGGTTTAGGCAAAGCCACAGTAGAGCGTCTGGTGGCTCAAGGAGCCCGAGTGGTTTTATGCGACTTAGCGAACTCAAAGGGGCTCGAGGTGGCAAAGTGCTTAGGGGATGAAGACAAAGTCTTGTTTGCTCCTGTAAATGTAAGTCTTGTTTGAACGCCAAAGTTGCCGTAGCGTAAACCATTGCAACCTCTTGCTAGATTACCAAAGAAGACGACGTACAAAACGCCCTAAAACTAGCTAAGGAAAAGTACGGAAAACTCAACTATGTGGTAAACTGTGCAGGGATTGGAGTGGCCTTTAAAACATACAATTTCAAAAAAAAGCTGCCGCATCACCTGGAAGATTTTTCCAAAGTTGTGCAAGTCAGTATTTAAGGTTGATAATTGGAAAGTGGTTCAAACTAGTCGTTTCAGGTTAACACCATTGGTACTTTCAATGTGATCCGACTGGCTGTGGGCCTGATAGGCGAAAACCAGCCGAATTCCAATGGAGAAAGAGGAGTAGTGATCAACACGGCAAGCATAGCGGCCTTTGATGGCCAAATGGGGCAAGCAGCCTACGCTGCAAGTAAGGGGGCTCTAGTGAGCATGACCTTGCCTCTAGCCAGAGATCTAGCCGTTGAAGGCATTAGAGTGGTCACTATTGCCCCAGGTAAGGCCACTGAAAGTAACGACTCGACTAGTTGATCATCTGGATGTATGGGTCATTTTCAGGCCTCTTCAAAACCCCTTTACTGAACGAACTGCCCCCAAAAGTAATATCGTATCTGGAATCGTGTGTTCCATTTCCCAGCCGATTGGGGAATCCAGCTGAATTTGCTCAAATGGTCCAGGCAGTCATTGAAAATCCCATGCTGAATGGCGAAACGATTCGTCTGGATGGGGCATTAAGAATGACATAAATATTCCAGGTTTAAGCTCCAAAACGTTTTTTAGTTGTTTTTGATTTTTTAACGAATTAAGGAAATATGTGGTTTTTATGAGCATGTCTATTTATTAATTGTTTAAATCCCACACACATTTCCTCTTTCTCGTCCTCGATTTATACCCTGCAAATTAATTTCTAGTGAGTTTCTAGAGAGTTTCTAGAAAGGGAAAAAGGCAAAGAAAATTTTCTGCTAAACGTCCGCCTGTGATGACTGATACAATCGATGTAGGGGTAGGGACTTTTCTCTTCGTCTACTTTATGGTAATCGCCAAATTAGCTTGTATATGGTGATTTTCCTCAACATTTGTGAGTGATTTTTTGTTTAATTTAGGTGGAGAAGGAAGGTAATAAACGTATGTAAAGAGTAAACCCCAACTATATATCTACCTATTTCCCATTTCCCCCATTTCCCATTTGAACTGACGACCACAGTGAATAACTGAAAACTCGCGTTTAAAAAATTGTTGTAAATTTACCAAAAAAAATGCCAAAGGTGCAGTTGATGCCAAAAATGTAGAGTTTTACCTGTCGAATGGCGTCAGAATCGTTTCTATATCTGTTTTCGATGTCGAGAAATGAATTTTTGAAAATACCTCGACAGTAGTCGATAATAAAGTGTGTAGAAAAATTGGTTCTTCACTCATCAAGCAACAATTTATATATTAAATGAAGTTTGTATAAACTTTTTGTATATTTGCTTTTTCCAGTAACGATTTGTAATAACTTTCGGGCACTACTCACTTTATCAAACTGGAATTTGATGTCAGTAATTCTTGATAAGTGAAAATACTTTATGTTCAGGTTTTTAGGAAATAGAAACGCCGACCATTATTTTGTTGGACGAATAATTTTTATTTTTCTTTAGACAGCTTACATATATTTTTACATTTATTTTAAGCTTCGCCTATTAACAATTTTTTACATGTTTGCAAATCAATATAGAAAACTATACATTAAAAAATTACATAATATACTTTTATATTTCGTTATAAATTTTCCATTCTTACAAAGACATAATATTAGATAGAATCGAATCCTTTTCTAAAATACTGTGTAGGGTGAACATCATATGGACCTTATATCAATATACAATTACTAATAAGTTTAATATTGGTATAGTATAGAACTATTATCGATAAAACTAATCAGTCAAAAAAATTAACAGTTTTTCAATAATAAAACAATCACATTTAGGTAAATTGTAGTTAAGGTAATTCTGTGGGTTTCGCTCGACGATGATGACTTGAGTTGGGGTGTGTGGTAGCTGCTTGCGTAGGTCATGTTTACGAAAAAAGTTCCCTCAGCAAGGCCATGAGGAGATCTTACAATGAAATTGTATTCTCCGGTGTCAATTGCTGTTACTTTTGTCAGGAACAGAACTGCTTGGTGGCAGTGAAGAGTCGTGGTATTCTGAAAACATTTCAATAATATTTTAAATTCTTTTCAACAAACAAACGTATATACAGGGTGTCCCGTAAGCTCATGATCAAAAGGGTACTGCGATATTCTTTGGACCAAAAGAAGACGATCTGACCTAACTTTTATTAACAAAAAATGTATGGCTCCTCTGCTATTGATGGTCAAAGTTCTTCAAAAAAATGATCTTTTTTGAAATATCGAGAGAATGGTACGATGTATTTTAGTGAAACACGCTGTGGATTTGTTCTTATGCAAGACTCATATTTTGATGAAACAATCGAGTTCAGCCGTTTTGGGCAAGTGGTGAATTCTTGAGTGTCGTGGTACAAAAACTACCAGAAAGAACTTTTCAGTTGGAGGATAAAATCGACTCATTTTTTTTCGATTGATGCACTAATCGTTCATTCACAATTTTGTGCTCTTTGTAAAATCTTGTAGCAATCATAGTTTTTGCGAGAAAAAATATTCCTGTTTCCGTGCCACTTAACAATGTTAGACATTAACTGCAAATATCGTGATACGAGGCATAAAATCATTGTCAATCAATCTCACAAATTCGTTTTGAATGACCTTTTCTAATGAAGAAGTGACCGACATGGTCACAGTTTTAGGGTTTTGCGAAGACAATTTGCGTGAAAGCGTACGCGTTTACGCGGCGCATATTTGCTAAGTGACTAGAAAACGGACATATTTTTTTTACGTAAAAACTATGAGTGCTACAGATTTTACTAAGAGCACCAAATTGTGAATAAATTATTAGTGCATCAACGTAAAAAAATGATTTGCTTTAATCCTCCAACTAAAAAGTTCTGGTAGTTTTTGTATCACGACACTCAAGAATTCACCACTTGTCCAAAACGGCTGAACTCGATTGTTTCATCAAAATATGAGTCTTACATAAGAACAAATTCACAGCGCGTTTCACTAAAATACATCGTACCATTCTCCCGATATTAAAGAAAAATAAATTTTTTGAAGAACTTTGAGCATCAATAGCAGAGGAGCCAGACATTTTTTTGTTAATAAAAGTTAGGTCAGATCGTCTTCTTTTGGTCCAAAAAATATCGCAGATGATCCTGAGCTTACGGGACACCTTGTATAACGTTTATAAATGAACTTGAAGATTGATAATAATTTAACATTTGCATTCAGAATAATTCAGATGCTAAAGCTATACAGATGTACTTTCCCGACTACAGAAGGATCATTCTTTTCTGAAGTATTTGCCTATATATATTAAGAACATCATTCTTTGTTGTTGGTTTTGTTAGAATCTCAGAATTCAAAATTGTAAATTTCATTCTGTAAAAAAACAGCCGATTTACGATTAGCAAAATCCTCTTAATGCGTGTTGTACGGTATTTTACAGTACAAGGTTTTAACTAGGATTTTAACACTGCATTTTCTTAGCGAGTCACTTTTCGGATCTAGTTGGTGATATAGTTGGTGATAGTATATTTTTTGATTCACGCTTGAACTCTGTCGTGGACCACCCTGTATATAAAATGCTTTATGAAACTAAGGTAACAGTGAATTTTTCCCACACATAAATAAGCATCGCCGGCATAGTATTCAAGATCAGTGAATTTTTAGTAGTTGGTGCAGAGCGTCGCAAATGGCTTGGTGCGCCAACTCAACGCACCAGCGCAGCAACTCGATTATGTGGCTGAGAAAATGTTCCTTGATGGAAATGTTGATATTTTTTTCTAGTTGTTTTAACATTTATTTTAGTCATTTTACAAGAAAAGTCGTCGTCTCGTTATAGTTCGTTCTTTTTTATCATATTTTCTGAATACCCGTTTTGCCTTTGAATTTGGGACAAAATTGAAAAAGTTTTTCCACAAAACGATCAGAGAAGCAAAAGGATGGAAACAATTATTTAGAAAACTCGTCACTCTCAGTGACGGTCACTCTCGGTCATCGGTAAATGAGTTATAACTCATTAACCGATGATTTAAGACGCCCTAACTCAGAGAGCGACTACCACTCAAAAGCGCAATTCCATGATACTAAAGCTAACTGATACTGTTAGTTTTAGTATCATGGCGCAATTCGACACAGTGTTACCCAGGCCTATTAAGTAACACTAGCATATTTCATGACAGTATAATTTGTAGGGTGTTTTCTTAATTGGAAATGTTAAATTTTGAATCACTTTGTGTTTAATTGAGAAATTGCTAATTTGTTCAATAATGAAAAAATGTAAAATTTGGGTCAAATCCATTAGAATGCGTGATGTTATGAATTATTTGACATGCCTTCGTATATATAGCATCGGTGGTTCAATGGTAGAATGCTCGCCTGCCACGCGGGCGATCCGGGTTCGATTCCCGGCCGATGCAATTACTTTTGTTTTCGAAATTTTCTCACATATTTTTGGCTTTTTTTAAACCCAGGTACTTTTTTGAGCGACTTTTATAACGGCAGCATTCAAAATAGGTCTTTCTGGTCGTCTTTTTTGCCTCCGGTAGATCTCGCATTTCTCAATTTTGAACATCTTCAAATAGCCCTCTAAAATACGTAATAGGAATCAAGCAATTTTAAATAACAATCGATTAAATTTGATTAATTTATGAAAATGCGTCGAATTATGTATTTTTTAACTTAAGCAAAAAATTATATGTACATATTCTAGATTTATAGAGGAATTTTCGTTTATGAAAATATGATGTAACTTTTTTCTTATCAAGTTTTTTTTTTAATGAAAATATTATTGCTTGTTCCGCGGATGTTTGTGCCAGAGTCGCACTTTGCCGACCGCTGGTCTAGCGGATAGCGCCTTAAGAGGCTACAAGAGGTTCTGGTATATTCATTGAGAATTCGCGCTGTTTTTCTCGCTGGAGATTAACATCAACGATTTTTACCTACCGTTATTCTGTAGGCAATGATGGTATTGTCGGCATCTCCCGGCCTATAAACCTTTTGGTTCTTTGCTATCCAAAACACTTTGGTGTAGGTGGGGTTGGCACAGAACTCCATGGTTAAAGTTAGGGGCTGTCCAGACACTGCCGTTATACTTTTATTCGTTGGCATCACAGTGGGACGACCTGTAAAATATTCAAAAAGTGTAACGATTGTTAGGAAAATTACAATTTTATTCCACCTTTAAATTGCTTCTAGTACAGGGTTCAATTTACAAGTGAGTGTCGCAAACTCTGATTTATCCAGAATTGGCAGTAATTCTATACATGCACGAATTAAAACTTATAAGATCCGATAATTTGAATTGAATGAATACTAAATAGTTATAGAAAGTGATATGCAAGATGCTTTAGAAAAAATGTAGGTGCTTCAATAAGTTACTTTATATTATTTTTTCTTTCCTGGGTTTCAGTCTAAATGTGGACATTTTGAATGAAACCCAGGAAAGAAAAAATATAATAACAATTACACGCAGTCAGGAAAATAAATCAAAATTTATATTATTTTTGTAATAATTCGAAATAATTGTATTTTAACGATTTATGGAAAAAGGCGTTGTTACTGAGGAAAAAAGTTTAATAACAAAAGCAAAATTTAATTAACAAAACATTACACCTGGCAATTAGGATTTCAATTGCTCTCTTGCATGATGAATCTAACGAAAATGTCAAATCTATAAAGTCCTATATAATGTGGAGATTTCCGTCATCCTTTTAAACACTCAGAAATTGGCAATCTTTTGAGCAGAGACCCACAGACTACACCATTAATGCAAAACACACCCTAGACGTTTTTTTACAAACTTCTTGTTGGGTATTTCGCCTCAAGAATTTTTAGACAGAAGAATTTTTAGACAGAATTTCCTCACGTCTTTTATTACAGATTGATAAATAGTGCTCCTATTTCGCAATAAGAACGAATTATTTATCAAAAAGTAATCAAGAA